ACCTCAAATTATATGTGAATATTAAGATTTCCCAGCTGAAAAGAAACAAAACTTTGCTAGCTCGCATAAAATATCTCATAATTTTAAGGCATTTTTCCTCAAAATCAGTTTTTTTGTTGCTGCTAAAGTGCTTCAAATTTTTGTTTTATGATTAAATTTCAGATGTTTTTCATTTTATTTTGACAAAATGCAATTTTTGCAAACGTTTTAATCAAAACCACTACATTTGCATATTTCTACATAAACCAATTTTTAGACTTAATCCTTGTTTCGATGTGATGGGTCACATTTATGTGACACTTTCCTTCCTTTTACAGAAGCTGGACGTAGATCAGTGCACAACCAGCCGAAATAATCGACATTTCTTCAGCTGATTTTTGTTCCTTTCCTGGACGTTTGTGCAACAGGAAACAGTTTGTCGCGGCGCTGAAACCGGCCCTTTGCCCTCCCGCCTGCAGCACGCCCTCTTAAGTAATTGAAGGGATTTCAATTAATTATCAACCCGGGCAGGTCCGATCTGACGGGCCCGGCTGACCCGAGCTGCACCGGCTCAGGTTGCTTCCACCTGAGCCGAAGTTTCGCAAATGAGCCGAAGAAATAAATGAAGCTTCCTCTGACGGAGAACCTGATGATACACGAGAAAATAGTTTAAATAAACAAATAAAACTCAGGTTTTCCTGTTTTCTGTGATTCTAGACGATTTTCAACTTGTTTTTGTAAAAAACTAAAGTTTTTTTTTCCATAAATCTCGAGTAAAACTGCCTTTAGTGAAGAGAAAACAGCAGAAAAGCAGGTTTGGTTCAAATAAACGAGGTATCAGAAGTTTAGTGTCCTTCAGGGGTCCTGACCCAAACCCGGTCCAGCATCAGGACTTCACCAGAATCTCTATGATGTAGTCCAGGTCGTTCAGGTCCATCAGACACGACTGGAGCCCCCCGCCCGAGGACAGGCTGGGGGGCTTCAGGTTCTCCTCGGGCCACAGCGACACGCCGAGGGGCCACAGAGCCCCGCCCCCGCAGGACCAAGGCAGGTCCGACGTCTCGTACATGGACGTATCGATGTCCTCGAAGATRTCGTCCAGCGCCAGGTCGCTCAGGTAGCCCGTGGCGCTGTCGCTCAACGTGCTCCCGGCGGGGGCCGGCGGGGGCTTCTGCTGGTCCGAGGGTCCGTTAGGGTCCTGAGAGGGGGCATCAGGAGACACAGCGTCGCAGCAGCCGTCCTCTGCGCACCCGGGACACGTTACAGACACGTCCTCCCTGAAGCCGTCCCTCACCAGACAGGAGTCCGGGTCGAGGCGGTCCGGACCTCTCGTCCTGTCGCGCCACATCTCCTCCTGGATCTGCCGCAGCGTGTTGGCGAGCAGCACGGAGCGGCGCAGGCTGAGCTCCACGCCGGCCTGGTCGTCCTGCAGCTTCTTCAGGCAGAGGCCCAGGACCACCTGGCGCTGCTGCAGGAGGCTCGCCGCCGCTTCCTCCTCTCTGTCCTCGCCCCCATCCTGCTTCCTGTCTGGCTTCCTCGCGCCATCGGGGAGAACCTCCACCTCCAGCTCCTCCAAGCAGCTCCTCTTTCGCTTCACACCGCGACCCAACATTGACCTGCGGTGACGGGAGGTTAAAGAGTCTGTGTCATCAGATTTTTCTAATAAACATGAATGCATTTTTGGAAAGATAACATTTATAACATACTGCAAAACAAATTTCACGTCACTCAGGTGAACGGTTGTTGAGATATTGGCATGTGAAGAAACAGGAAGTGATGTCAGCATGTAAACAGAGAGTTGTTACAAAAGCTAACAACACAGACTGTAGAGAAGAATCTGTTTCTTTAGATTATTTTTAGTTGCTATCAAAGAAAAATGAAGAAGAGTTAAAGTTTAAATGATATTGTTTTAATAAACCAAGATCAGCAAGTTTATTTTATTAAATAGTTCCCCTTTGATGTCACTTCCTGTTTCCCTTTGGCTGAGACAAATTTAAACGAAAATAGGCCAGTTATGTGACAAAATGGGTAAAATCACGTGCATTATGCCATTATTCTTAAGTATAAAGACGCTTTCTTTGACTTTTTGAGTTTGAAGTATAGGCATCAGGCACTTTAAATGTAAATAAAATAAATAAAACACAAACATAAAATATCAAACATTCAAAAAATATTAACCTATATATTAAATGCTAAAAAAATTTAACTGACTATTTTGTCAATGAATTTGTTTTAAAACAGCTTCATCTGAAGCCGTGTGCTATGACTTTTATACTTTTATAAGCAGTAAATGGTACACTGGGGGCGTGGCTAAGAGTGGGCGTAACTAATACCCACCCACTTGCTGACAAGCCCCGCCCCCCCAACATTTAACATTTCTTGTCTMTTTTTTTGTGCTTTAGGCCACCAATTAAACAACCTTTCTGTTTATTTTAAAGCTAGTTTTGATTCTAGGACCTAAAATGTCTGTAAACATCACATCACAGATTTAAGGTCTGTGTTTTTTAGCTGCTGTGATAAATAACTTTTAGCATCTATTAAAAAGGTCAGTAGGTGGGCTAAGGCCACCCCAGACCCACCTATAAACACACCACTGCTCTATACTTTGCAAAATCTTTACAAAATTTAAAAAAAAACTTGCTTTTTCTTATCATAAAATGTGTTTTTCAGAGTTTTCCTACCTGAGAGGCACAAACTTTGACAATATTTTCTACAACCGGACAGTTTTGCAGAMTAATCTTTGGAAGATGACTCAGTAATAAAACCTTTACTGTGTAAAGATGGTTTTTAATGGTTTAAAACCAGTGAATTTTTCCTCTGCAGATGAATGTTGAACAAACTGTACAAACATAGAGCTGGACATGTGAGGCTTTTTCTTCTTCTGTGTGACACAGTACATTTGAGTCACTGTTTAAAAGGCTGGCAGACTTTATTTCTCCTTTAGTTACTCACAAATCCTCCTCTATTTAACAGCTAACATCAATTAAACTGGTTTAAATTTACATTATGAGCGATTTCAGCAGCTTTTWATAAGAAAGAATAAACCCTAACATGCTAAAACCCTWTATTTAATATTTTAATTAAATATTTTTCTTTGTATTTATAAATAGGAGCAAGATTTTTATTCAAACCTACTTAATTTTTGAACGACCCCCMTTTTAATGTGAGCACAGCTCCTCCACATCAGCTCCGTTTAAAGGGAAGTTAGCAGGAAAAGACGTCAGGAAATGTTTTAAGAGATTTAAAATAAATAAATGGAGGTAAAGAAAAAAACCTTACGTGTCTTGTAAAGTCGTGTCATGAAGTGTTTAAACCGTGGTGTCCTCCTCGGCTGGGTAGGTCGTCGCTTTCCGGTACCGTCGAGATCCCGGAGTGTGAGGAAGAACCGTGACTGCTGGAGCAGGGGTGAGGGGGCGGGGTTTCAGCTGAGGGAGCAGGCGGTGGGGGCGGGGCTACCGTCTGCAGCTGCTGTGGTGGGAGGAGAATGAAGGCGGGCCTTCAGGAGCGAGAGGAGGCGGGGCTTCAGGGTGAAATKTGATCTCAGGAAGCAGAAGTGGAATTGGACCGTTTAAATGCCAATCAAACTSCAGGCCCCGCCCCTCACGGGGCAGCGAATGTGCGCCAGCTGGTTCCGCCGGTTCACGAGCAGCTTGGACAAACCGGGGCACACGTGTGCGGCCAACAAGACCCATAATGATCTGATTTCTCCCTTTTTTTGTTTGTTTTTAAGTACATGTTTATAGTTTTTTTAATTTACAGATATTATTGTTTTATAAATAATAATACTGTATATAGAAAAAGTGTTTATCCTAAAAATAAATTATTTAACTTCAATAAAAACAGTAATAAAACTTACCAAAACTGACAGATTTATTAAAACATTACTGTTAAAACATTAGTTACACATTTCTGATAGGCACGCACCAAACAAGACCAGTAGTTTTTGAAGTTAGTAATTTAAATAATGTTCTTGTTAGGCTAAATAATGTTTGTTACAGGACGGTACAACCTTTAGTTTGTGCTTTAAAAGCAGAATTGTTTGGAAAAAAAACCCTAAGCTAATCAAAACAGAAGTCTGATCTGCTGTGTGAGTAAAAACATGCTTCCAGTGTGAAGCATGGTGGTGGTGTTGTCATGCTGAGGGGAGGGGGGGTGATGTTTCACAGCAGTGTTCGAGAAGAATCATGTCGTTGACACGAACARCAGAGTTCAGCTAAATGCTGTAAAATAATATAAACCTGAATCATGTCTAAAAGAACTGATTTGACTCGTTAATTCGGTGAAAAGATGTGAGCTTTTATGTGTTTGTTTTAAATCAAAGCTCCATTTCAGAAATATCTGGGAGGCCTGAAGGCGGCGTGGAGTCCCTGAACGCATCGTTTTAAAGGAGCAGATGACTCAGWGGAAGGAAAAGAGAAATACCAAATAAGGAAACTCTGGGTTCAGTTTGTTCATCATTTCCTCCTGAGTTCATCACGTCTCTACTTCTCCTATTTTACCTTTATTTATCCTTCACTCTGTTCTGTTCTTCAACTGCCTCCTCTCTCTCTCTCCGGTGACTTTTCCCCTCTTCTATGGTTGTGTTTTTGCTGACTCATCAGGAGGTTATTAATTTTTAACTACAGCCTAACCAGGTCCAGCAGGAGGCCAGCTTTCAGAGCAGCTCTGAACACCAGCGTCATATTTAAGGGATATGAAGACAAACAAAACTTTTTTTTTCGTAGAATTTAGTGTCTGCTTTACAAACGGTAAAAGGACTGAACTTATTGAGCACTTTATCAAGTCCCTCCAGACCCCAAAGCACTTTACACTCACACATTCACTCACTGAGGGTTGTAAGCTACACTGTAGCCACAGAACAYTGGCGGGGGCGGGGCTGCCTTCAGTGGAGAGGGTGGGTGAAGTGTCTCATCCAAGAACACCACTGAGACGGGGATTGAACSAGCGACCTTACGGTTCCATGACGACTCCTTTAACCACTCCGCCACAGAGTGAGGTCAWGGGGACAGAGGTGATGCTTATTTACTATTTATTTAATATTATTTCAGCATTCACAGGATTGTTTTGGTCTTTTTTTTTGTTTTAAATCCTCTTCATGCAGAAGATGAGTG